CCTCTATAATTGTCATGATGGTGGGTGGGAGGAGATTGAGGAACATTATTTTCCTAATGTGGTCCCCAGGAAGTTCTCAGCTTTGAGTACTTCCAGTTTCAGAGCCAAAAAAAATCCCAGTTGCAAAAGCTGGTAAACTGCAGATCAAGCACATGACCATGGGACTAAAGAAGGCTTGATCCAGTCCCCCATGACCAGTACCTACCCCCTTTTACCTTAAGTGACCACACAGACAACAAAACTGGAGTTAATGGCCCAAACGGCCTTTTATTACAACCATCAATAAATAACATTTAAATAAGTAAAACACAGCATAACATACGTTTTTCAAGGTCCTAATAGGCATCAAGAAAGTGAATACCTGCGTCCTGCTTAACTAGGCCTCCAACCGCAACATCACCGACTCGGAGATAACCACCGCAAATACCCCCACCAGAACAACTGCAAGTCATACCTCAGACGGGTTCCTACAAAGTATCCTTTCTTGTGCCCACAGTAACCTACGAGGACCTTGCACCCCGCAGGCTGTCAAACAGCACCGAGTGGCACAACCACCACCCAAAAACAAACCATGAAACAAACGGGTGGCGGGAGGGAAGTTTGCCTTGTCAAAATTCTCTTCTGACTGAAGACCCCCTGCCACACCCTTAGTGCAGATTTGAGGGGTGCACTGCATACAGAGTGCAGACTTGAGGGGTGTGCTGCATACAGAGTGCAGAGTTAAGGGGTGTGTTACGTACGTTGTGCAGAGTTTGGGGATGCACTGCAGAGTGCAGAGTTGAGGGGTGCGCTGCATACAGAGTGCAGAGTTCAGGGGTGCGCTGCATACAGAGTGCAGAGTTCAGGGGTGTGTGCGCTGCATTTGCAGATGTGCAGAGTTCAGGGGTTCAGTGGTGATACACTACATACGTTGTGCAGAGTTTGGGGTATGCACTGCATACAGAGTGCAGAGTTCAGGGGATACACTACATACAGAATGCAGAGTTCAGGGGTATGCATTGCAAGTTTGGGATGCACTGAGTGCAGAGTTGAGGGGTGTGCACTGCATACAGAGGGCAGTGTTCAGGGATGTTACATGTACATTGTGCAGAGTTTGGGGATGCACTGCATACAGAATGCAGAGTTCAGGGGTGTGCTGCATACAGAGTGCAGAGTTGAGGGGTGCACTGCATACAGGCAGATTCAGACACACATTGTGCAGGGGGGTGCACTGCATACAGAATGCATAGTTCAGGGGTGTGTGCATGTACATTGTGCAGAGTTTAGGGATGCACTGCATACAGGATGCAGAGTTTAGGGGCGCACTGCATACAGGGTGCAGAGTTCATGGGGTGTTACATACATTGTGCAGAGAGATTTGGGGATGCACTGCATACAGGTTGCAGAGTTCAGGGGTGACTGCATATAGGGTGCAGAGTTCAGGGATGTGTTACACTGCATACATTGAGTTCAGGGGTGTGTTACACACATTGTGCAGTTTGGGGGTGCACTGCATACAGGGTGCAGAGTTCAGGGGTGCGCTGCATACAGAGTGCAGAGTTTAGGAGTGTGTCACACACAGAGTGCAGAGTTCAGCCTTTCTCTACAGCTGCTTACCCCCTGCATCCGCCATCCACATCTCACTTTCACCCCTCTTCAGCTCTGACCGCGAAATGACCCCCCACTGCCCCATCTTCTCCCCTCCCTCCATAAAAGCTCCACCATCTTCCACATGTCTTACTTTTGTTGCTGTATTAAGATGAAGCACCCAGCTGGCTCTAGTACCACCTCCCCCTGCACCCTGTAATTGGCTCCACCTTTCTGACTTGCAGGAAGATCATTCAGTGGAGGTGTCGGCATTGCACCCAGGCACCTGCATCTCTCTTGTCCCCTTCCTGCTTTCAGGAGCCGTTCAGGAGCTCAGATCTGTGGGAGCTGTTGGAGGGACAAGCTGTCTCAGAAACAGAGAACCCGGACTTGTGTGTTTACAAGTGATAGTGGTGAGCGGGGAGCAGAGGGCCTGAGCCAGAGGTGGTCCCACCAAGATCCAGCTGAAAAAAAAGCCTTGTCTGTTCCACACCGAATGTGGACTGGGGCTGATGTACTGACTGGGGCTGATGTACTGACTGGGCTGATGTACTGACTGGGGCTGATGTACTGACTGGGGCTGAAACCTGAAATAGAAAATATGCCGGACATATCAAGCCTTAACATTGCAGGGGCGGACTGACCATTTGGAAATGCAGGCACTGCCCGAGGGCCCGGGGTTAGTAGGGGGCCCCATGAGATGCCCTTGGTACCTTTTTCATAGGCTTTTTTGAGTTTGGGCAAGGACACAGGGGCCCCATGATCCGCTATTGCCTGGGGGCCCCATAATTTGTCAGTCCGCCCCTGTAACATTGTGTGTATCTTTGAACTGGTTACAAACTTTGGAACCCAAAATAGGCAACACATTAGAAGTCTTACAGATCATCAGTGTAGACTGAACTGTAGACTATGACCCTTTAATGATTGCTCTCACTCCGGCGTGTATGGCGATACCTACTATGTGTCACACAACCACCATTGTCATACACAGGGCACATCCGCTGCATGCATTTGTCTGACCCCTCGCCCTCCAGAGGATTTCCCCCCCTTCCTGACCAGACCATTTTTAGCGATAAGTCGCTTCGTTACTTTAACTGACAATTGCGCGGTCATGCAATGCTGCACCTAAAATAAATCTACACCCTTTTTTTTCTCCACGAATTCAGCTTTCTTTTGGTGGCATTTGACCATCTCTGCATTTTTTATTTTTTCCGTCTGTCTCCTAATCTATCCACCTTTAGACGATCCCCGAAAACCTCTCTCTTTAACCACAAGCCTACCGAGCACTTCTACCCCCTTCCTGCCCAGGCCAATTACCAGCTTTCAGCGCTGTCACATTTTGAGTGACAATTCTACGGTCATACAACATTGTACCCATATGAAATTTTTATCATTTTTTTGTAACAGATAAAGCTTTATTTTGGTGGTATTTAATCACCTCGGGGGTTTTTTTATTTTTTCTTAAACAAACCAAAAACCACTGAAAATTTTGAAAAAAAAAAAAAAGTTTTTTCTTAGTTTTTGTTATAAAATTTTGTAAATAAGTGATTTTTCTCCTTCACTGATGTGTGCTAATGAGGCTGCAGTGAAGGGCACTGATAGGCTGCACTGATGGGCACTGATAGGTGGCACTGATGGACACTGATAGGTGGCACTGAAGGGCATTGATGAGGAGGCACTGTTAGGTGGCACTGATGGGCATTGACAGGGATCACTGATGGACACTGAAAGGCAGCACTGATACATGGCACTGTTAGGCGGCACTGACTGGCACTGATAGGCGGCACTGACAGGCGGCACTGACTGGCACTGATAGGCGGCACTGACTGGCACTGATAGGCGGCACTGATTGGCAGCACTGATAGGTGGCACTGATTAGCATTGATAGGTGGCACTGACTGGCACTGATGGGTGACACTGAAAGGCAGCTCAGATGGGCACTGATATGTGGCATTGATGTGCACTGGTATGCACTGATATGTGGCATTGATGTGGCACTGATGGGCACTGGCACGAGGCACTGATGAGCACTGACAGGTGGCGCTGCTGGGGCTACACTGATCATCAGGGCACACTGATCATCAGTGCCCTGATGATCAGTGTACATGTCCCCTCCGCAGAAAGCCGATTACCAGCTCTCCTCTCCTCTGTCAGCGTGACAGCTCGTGGGGAGAGAAATGCCGATAATCAGCATTTTCCTGTTTACATGCGATCAGCTGTGATTGGACACAGCTGATCACATGACCGAGCCGACATCTTCAGTTCTTTCCGTGATCGGTGATCCGCTGTTTCCGAGGGAAACAGCTGCGTACTCCTGATCGCCGTGCTGCGTACTCCCGGAGCGACACAAAGCTCCAGGTTGTATTTGTACACCGCCAATCAGCAGGTCCCGTCCGTGAATCATTGGCCGTGACTTGCTGACAGACTCCCACTGTGTACAATCACAGCAGATGCTGGTTGGGGGGGGGGGGGCGCACTCTTGCTCAAAAACCCCGGATGTAGGCAGCAATGTACTCATACGTCACTTTGCCTACAGTGGCCACCTGTCCGCAGTAAAATGCAGGCAGGCGGTCATAGACTGGATGAAGAACACCCTCCGCACCCTCCTGCTCCCTGCTGTACTTACCTCCAGCACCCCCACAAAAACCTGTCCAACATTTGGGGCATTTGAAATCCCTGTTCTTCTTCCTCTTCTCTCTGCAGCATATCTGGGATGAACCAGATCAATTCCCTGCGATGGGGCTGACTAACCAGAATCTGTTCTGTCCCAGAAGCACTGCCGGGAGAAGAGGGAGAAGAGTGGGGATTTTAAGTCACTGGTTCCCTTGACTGGTTGTGGGTGTACTTATAAGTGATCACATACCCTCTGTTCTCAGGTGCAAAAGGAACTCGGGGAGGAGAAACAGCAGGATACTGGTCTTCCCAGTGAATGGTTGTGCTGGGGGGGGGGGGTGTGTCAGCAGAAGTCTGAGTATTGGAGAGCAGGCTGAGTTCCCAGCACAGCCAGAAAACTGACCACGCTGTGCTACCATGCCTAGTATGGTGTTTTATAGGAAAGCAGAGGGACTGGCAGGAACACCAGGGATGCACAGGGAGGGTGATGGGTGCAGTGGGGGGGGGGGGGCAATTACTGGAACTGATCCCCTGTATGGCTTACTCTGCAGCAGCTGAAAGCCAGTGGGAGGGAGAGGAGAAGAAGCTGGCTTTCAGCTGCTGTAGAGAGAGCTCATACAGGGGATCAGTTCCAGTAATTGCCCCCCCTGCCATACCAATCACCCTCAATCCACATACACAGACACACACAACAGACAGACAGACACACACACAAACACACACACAACTACACGCACACAGACAGACACACACACACACACACAACAGACACACACACAACCACACAACACAGACACACACACACAAAAATACACACATAGACAGACACACACATACACAGATGCACACAGACACGCACACACACACATAGACACAGATACACACAGACACACACGCACACAGACACACACGCACACAGCCACATACACACACCACACAGACACATACACACGCACAGAACACTGTATAAAATAAACTAAACGCTACTAAAAACATCCCCCAAAATTAAAAAAGACTCTAAATAGATAGAAATACAATTTTGTTTCAATAATAATTCATCTTAGCAGCTCAATGAGCGAATCAGAGAATTTCTGCTTTTTCTCTAATTTTTTTCTGCACCATCAATCACTGAGATCGCCCTAATTATCCTAGTGGTCACAAATAATCTGCGCAATAATCCCATTCAAGCCAATCAACGCTCCAGGCTTGTCCTGTATCCAAATATATGAAGAGAATGTGTACAGGTCTGATGACTCTTTCACTGTCTCATATTTTTTTTCTTTTCAGACTTTCAGCCTCACCCACCTTTCTCCTACGTTGGCTGTTTAATCTATAACCCCACTGACATGAGGTCTAATATTCTTGAGAAATTCATTTATGATGGTGTTGAAATTGCCCTCACTTTTACGTCAAGTATGACCTGCTGATTGTCCCTGAATCACTCTTTATGGGTATTATGACACATAGAAGAGTCAAGTACAAAACATCTCGGTGTCATCTCATAATGAGTAGCTTTGTCCTCTAAGAGTCTACCCTCAGACAAGATGTGGGGTGAAAAGATATACGCAGGTTTTGTTTTTAAAAATTAACAAAAAAAAGTAATCATAAGGTAGTTTTATTATATGAATATTTCAAAGAATTTCAAAGAGTCACAGGAGGCAAAACTAATTGTAGAAACAATAAAATAATACACGACACAAGGACACCCAGAAATAGGTTTGTCCTAGGGCCAGTTCACACTACGTGTGTTTCAGTTGCTGTTTTTTCTGCACAGAAAGGGCAGCACAGTGGCTAAATGATTAGCACGTCCGCCTGGTAGTACTCGGGTTGTTGTTTCGAATCCCAGCCACGGTACCACCTGCCTGGAGTTTGCATGTTCTCCCTGTGCCTGCGTGGGTTCCCTCCCGCTACTCCAAATCCTCGCACACTCCGAAGACATGCTAGTAGGTGAATTGGCTCCTGTCTAAATTGTCCCTAGTATGTGTATGTATGAATGTGAGTTAGGGACCGTAGATTGTACACCCCTTGAGGGTTAGGGACTGATGTGAATGTACAATATATATGTAAAGTGCTGTGTAAATTGATGGAGCTATACAAGTACCTGAAATAAATAAATATATGGTTGTCAATGTCATAGTTCACATTAGTGCTTGCAGTTCCAGTGCATTTTGGATGCAGAAAAAAAAGCAGAACAGGCTGCATTTTTCCTGCACAGAACTGTACTGGAAGTGGTAAAACGCATCAAAAATGCACCAAAATGCACTGGAATGCACCAAGAAGCACACTGGAATGCACATGTACCTATTTAAATTGAAGAAAAAGAGAGGAGAAAAAAAGAACTGGAATACATCAAAAACTCACAGGTACGCATCAAAAATGCATCAAAAATGCACTGGAATGCACCATAGAACACCTCAAAAAATGTGCCACAAATACATAAAAAACGCGCATGCAGAAATGCATCCAGAACACATCTGGACTGTGTTTCTATAATGTGAATCAACCCTTAGGGCTAGTTCACACTAGATGCAGTCCAGTGCTTTTTTTTTGCATCTGAAATGCATGCACAGTGTTTTACCAGTGCAATCAGTTCCAGTCAGTTTCCGGTGCAAAAAAAAATATGTTGCATTTTTTTCTGCACAGAACTGTACTGCAACATAGCAAACTGCATCAAAACTGCACCAGAACGGAGTGCGTTTTTGTGGTGTGAACTGGCCCTTAGTCTCATCTCACACTAGTGCGACCTGAAAGCTCCACAGCAGACCTTTGATTAACAAAGTGGGCAGCACAGTGGCTAAATAGTTAGCATCTCCACCTACTAGGGTCATTGGTGCAAATCCCAACCATAGCACCACCTGCCTGAATTTTGCATGTTCTCCCTGTGTCTGTGTGGGTTTCCTCCAGGTATTCCAGTTTCCTTCCACACTTTAAGGAAATGCTGGTAGGTCAATTGGATCCTGTATGAATTGTCCCTAGTATGTGTATGTATGAATGTGAGTTAGGGACCTTAGATTGTACACCCCTTGAGGGTTAGGGACTGATGTGAATGTACAATATATATGTAAAGTGCTGCATAAATTGACGCCCTATATAGGTACCTGAAATAAATAAATAACATGATTAAAACAATGCAACCAGGAAAGGGTCTTCGGGTGTCCTTAAGGCACCCTTTATCTCTGTAACCGTCCCATGTCCTCAGCTGTACCACAACCGGATTGAAGTCGTTAAAACCTCTCACATTCTTACATTTTCCCCCAGGGAACCTAGCCTCTGGGATAACCACCAATACCCAACCAGGTGGAAGCACAATACCTTAGATGGGCCCCCACTTTTTATTGTACCAATATAGTTACACACTGACCCCCCCAAAGACCCCATGAGCCACTAAACCAAGACCCGCTACGACATTTTGAACAATTTAATGCTCCCAACTTTGTGGGAAGAGTTTGGGGATGGCCCCTTCCTGTTCCAACATGACTGCACACCAGTGCACAAAGCAAGGTCAATAAAGACATGCAGGAGCCAGTTTGGGATGGAGGAGAATCCTGACCTCAACCCGATAGAACACCTTTGGGATGAATTAGAGTGGAGACTGTGAGCCAGACCTCCTCCCCCGACATCAGTGCCTGACCTCACAAATGTGCTTCTGGAAGAATGGTCCAACCTTCCCATAGACACCCTCCTAAACCTTGTGGACGGCCTTCCCAGAAGAGTTGAAGCTGTTATACCTGCAAAGGGCGGGGCCAACTCCATATTGAACCCTACGGACTAAGACTTGGATACCATTAAAGTTCATGTGCGTGTAAAGGCAGGCCGACCAATACTTTGGGCAATATAGTGTATATTCATATACACAGTATATATCATATAAAAACATACTCAATATACAGTAAATATAGCAAGACAGTGGAGAAGTTGATTTTTTCCTTCTTGTTCTTCAACATTGGAAGGAGTCTTTCAAGAAGGCTTTTCAGTTCCCCCAGTAACCAGAATGGGATGCCGGCAAGAGGGGCTGAACCTACCACCTACCTACCCCACCAGTTACAGTTCCCAGCTTGAGCATCCAATTCACATACCTTCCTTGAGGGGTGAACTACGATGCTCTTAGTCTGCCCTGAATGGGCAGGTTTAAAAAAAAAAATCTTAACGTACTGTTTTTAATTATAAAAAAATATTGTTTTCGAACTGTCAGTATAAAAAAAAAAAAATCCAGCCTTGTGAAAAATCAATGTGACAGAATTGAAAACGTTCTACAGAATGTATAAAGATAAACATGTAGTTAACATTCGGATCCCTGAAACAAAAACAAAAATCACATTTAACTGGAAAAGATATTCAGAGCCGCCTGAGTTACTGCCAAGGGATTCTTCACAAGCTCTATGAGTAATTGCTGAAGAGGACTTTGCCCCGTGTTACTGCACCTTACGTCTGTAGACTGCTTTTGTAAAAACGGATCTGCTTATGGTTGTTTATCATCATCTCAGGGCTCCACCTGTGTAGACGTCAGGTTATCCATCATAAATTGTTCAGAGCGGATATATAATGCAGCATCAGCCTGCAGTCATACAATGGTACCCAGAGCTCCATACAATACACAGGATAGGAAGGGGAGCGCTAGACCACAGCACTCAAAGAGCCTTCAACATGGGCAGTTTGTGGATATACAAAGCCCTGCTGCTATCTGCCTGTTGGACAATAGGTGAGTGTTTTCTTGTTATATATCAGTGCTTTTGGTGGATTGTTTTTTTTTTTAAATTTGCTATTGTTATAACTATTACTAACAGTAACATTTTTAAAAAGCGGTAAATACAACATTCACTAAACATTCACTTGAGGTGGGTCAATCTCTCTAATTTAATGTAGAGGCATCAGGAAGATTCACCCTCAATAAATGTTTGAGAAATGCCATATTTACTGCTTTATTATATATATATATATATTAGCAGTAGTAGCAGGAATAATAGGGGCGTTGCTAGTAGAATTATTGCTGGTGGTAGTAACACTCATTTTAGTCATGGTCATTATTAGCTACATTGGCAAAACTGATTGTTCAGCAAAATTACCAATGAACTGCTTAGAAGGAATTTACTTGGAAAAAAAAAAATCAAATTTTTAAAAAAATTTATTTAGAGGGTATGTTTTGGGTGCATTTAGTGTAGCCTAGTTTATTTCATTTAGTGTTCTTCGTGAAACGTTTCCCTTTTTGTATGTATTTGATTGTCATTTGTGTACTCTAATTTTCATGTTTTTGTTTTACTTTTTTCCTGCCTATATATTTTTTTTTCTATGAAAAAAAAATGATGCTAATGAAAGACTGTATTCCAGGATACTTGAAATAAGTTTCTTTAATCCCCCAGAGCCAGGGGCGGACTGACAACTCATGGGGCCCCCGGGCAATAGCGGATCATGAGGCCCCTGTGTCCTTGCCCAAACTCAAAAAAGCCTATGAGAAAGGTACAAGGGGCATGTCATGGGGCCCCCTACTGACCCCAGGCCCTCGGGCAGTGCCTGAGTTTCCAAATGGTCAGTCCGCCCCTGCCCAGAGCTATTCAAAAACCATTGTACCTTAAAAATCCATCATACAATTCCATTTAATTTTGCCAATAATGACAGAATTTTGCTACAATATTCTACAAAACTTTAGGGAAATGAAATCTTTACATTTTGCTGAAGGTAGATATAGAATCAAGGCAATATTGGATGTGCTTAACTTTTTGTATATATATATATATTTGTATATATATATATATATATATATATATATATATATTAACAATAGTAGCAGGAATAATAGGGGTGTTGCTAGTAGAATTATTGCTGGTGGTAGTAACACTCATTTTAGTCATGGCCATTAATAGCTACATTGGCAAAACTGATTTTTCAGCAAAATTACCAATTTCCTAATTGTCTAAATTTTCCAGAAGCTCTCAACT